ACGTCTTAAAATATAATAGATTTTGTAATCCTGGCGGAAAAACCGCAACTTTTTTTTGGTGATGCAGTCTAATGTACATCTCTGTGTATTGTAGCTTAACAAAAACCTGATCCAATACCCTGCAATGATCGGAGAGCACGATTGTTATTTGAAAATAATAGTTTCTCTTACACTGCTTTTTTCTCTTGCTCTTCTTACTCTCTTCTAAAACAAATAGAGAAAGCTTCTCTTGCGAGTATTTATGCTTCTAAAGTGCAATAAATTTACAAACTTTTTTTTTCTAGAGCGCACTTGTGCACATGGTATTGTAACTTTGCTCGTATAACGGTTGTTTGTAACAGCTTAAAGGTATCGAGATAGATATAGAAATATATGTATGTGTACGAAAATGTTCCTGTACATGATAACTGGAGCAAAAACTGGGATGTCTGAACGAATTTTGCCATAAAATTTGCCTCTTATTGAAAATGGGCGAAATCGTACGGAAACCATACCCACCTCCCGTATAACGGTATTTCCGTAAAATTGAAAAACTACGATATCTCCGCAAATACTGGATGCAAATTGTTGAAAATTAACTTATAAAGTAGATATTTGACATAAAATAACACAATCATGAAATTTTTTTGAAGAATTGCTGTAATTTAGTAGCCACTTCACTAGCCCTCACAGAAGTAGTTTAGAGTGAAACTAGGAAACCTGTTGAAAATTTTCGAAACCGGACATTAACCACGCCTATCTCCTATTCAAAGGTATTTTATTGAAACACGAAAACTGCGATAACTCAGTTAACTAAGCTAAAACAGCTACTTCACTCAAAATCGACATTTGCAATAAGTTTTTAGCAATAAATGAGTTATGTTAAGTTATGGAAAATGGACGTGACACCGCCCACTTATGATTACATACACACATAAGTGCATATCGTTGACCGATATAAACCAAACTCGGTTCAATAACTAAGGACGCAAAGACCTCTCTCGTCGTACAAAAATCACACTCTATAAGTCACACATCATGCCTGTGGTGGCGTCTGGCGCGTTGGCGATGGCGAAAACCGTAGACGATTTAACGATGAGCTGTAAGTGATTTACAGCGAATTAGGATCCCGCCGCAGGTCGTGATGCTGGAAGGCTTCCTCTGCGTTGGAAAGACCAGGTGGAGAAGGACTTGGCTTCACTTGGCATTTCCAATTGGCGTCAGTTGGTAGAGTAGAGAAATGACTGGCGTGCTGTTTTGGACTCGGCCTAAACGCATAGCCGCCTTAATAGAAGAACAACAATTCTTGGAAGAAAGAAGAACAACATTTCTTGGAACCCTTGTGAGCATACCGATCATATGGTCATATACATATATTTACATATGTATATATATAAAAGTATTTACATATACATATGTACATACGTCTACGTTTTCCTATCTCATCAGGTGTTAATCTACTGACAAATTTTCCCGCGTTTTTCTCTTCTGAGCTGCCATATGCATAGTTCGAATTTTTTAGTTTGTTTTTGTTTTTCTTCTCAAATATTCAAAAGGAAATAACCTTCCCCATTCGAAATACATATGAGGTATTAGAACAGTAACTGGTTTTGTAATAAAGTAACCAATTGTGTCCGTGCATACATATATGGCTGAAGTTTATTCCATTTGTGGCAGCATAGTGCAACATGCAACACATGCACTTACATATATGCACTCTACAGAATGTATGCACAGATAATCGCAAATGTCTTCCCATTCACATGCATTTGTTGCTGTTTCTGCTTCAATACAACATTTATCATGTGTATGTTTATTACACTGTAAAAACTTGTGACAAAACGATACAAAAGGTAGCAGAAACTCGCTTTATTTTCTTGCTTTGGATTTAAGTGCGCACGTAGTTTTATTTTTTGAATGCTTTGGGAGTTAATTACCCACTTGACCTAGCGTTGTCCACTCATGCTGATTAGCTGCTGGTTAAGCTGCTTTGCCAAAACAAAACAAAAAAAAATCTTAAACAATTGGCAGTAATAAAAAACCAACTTGGCATTTAATTTGAGTAGAAGCTATAAATAAACGTTAGTTCTAGATTATGATACCAATAACACATATCGATGGCTGAGTGGAAGATTGACATAAGTATCTCGGCAGCCAGTTCGAAAAAGCCCTATCTCAGACAATTTTTCAACAACGCCCTATTCCAGAATTTGATTGGAAAACGCCCTATCTCAGAATACGAAAATACTTTGAAAATGTGCTGAGATAGGGTGTTTTTGAACCGAACTCTGAGATAGAACTTTGCTTTTTATGTTTTTTGCGGTTTCTAGTACGGCTTAGCCTATTCGGATATCCGCTCGTATATTCGCGTAAACGGGTAAAATCAGGATATCTGCATATTCGGTTAATGTCCGTTTGTTTTGTTTTTCGGATATCTGGACCATATACGTTAATTTAGTTATCCGTTTATTTGAGTGTCCGATATTCTACAGAGTATTTGAACAGATTCGTAAAATTGCACTCAAATTTACTGAATCAATCGAGCTGCAAAATAAATAAAAGAAGACTCCATTATTACTCAAATAGTTGTTATTTTATATGTAATTTTTTGATTCAAAAATCCGCATATCCGGTTAATATCCGTTCGTTTTGTTATCCGGAAAGTCAAAGATTCCGGATAGAACTCCCCGTCCTAGTTTCAATGGATCTTTACGGAGCTTACGGGGCTTTTTGCGGTTATTTTGGAAGCTTAAAAACATGAAAACCTAGGAAATACCCCAGACCGGGTCGAGCCCTTTGAATTGAGGGTTTATTTCGTATTAAATATGAAATTTTAAATGCATTACCACTAAGTGCATAGTGGTAGTGAAACAAATTGATTATAAATTTTTGAACAAACCTGTTGTAAGCAAATTGGTTTTATAACCACAGATCACCAAATTTTCCTAAATTTGTAAGCTAATGTAATTTAGTGTTAGTGAAATTTTCATTCCCTTAACGCTAACCAGAAAGTGACAGTGAAAATTCTATTTCACTATCATTATGTAGCGCTAGTGGAATTTAAAATGCACTACCACTAAGGCCCTAGTGGTAGTGAAAATTTCGATTTAGTACAATTCGCCCAACCCTGTTTAATACATCCTACCCAAGTATGTGAAAAATTAAGTTTCGAAAAAGTGTTGGTTAGGACCTATGTAAATTTTTCATATCGAAGGAAATCACAAAATCCCTGTTTCAATTTTATCGTTTTATTCCATGGTTTATCATATTTGAATTTTTCGAAATTGTATTGCTTTTTGCAATTTTGTTCATTGCCCGGGCCTCTAGTATTAACCAGGCCCGTGATAATTTAACCCTCTGACCCACTCTCTAAGGGATCGGAAATACTTGTGCACTAAGATTTGTTCTTAAGCTTTTAATATTTTTCCTTAACGAATATTTCAACCAACACTGTTTCTTATTATTTCTACACTTTTTCATCAAGCATTTTGTGTTTTGTTTGATATTTTAAATCAAAAAACTGCTGTTTGTGGCCTGATACGTAAAAATAAAAACAAAAAAACGAAAAATATAATAAAACACTACGTCATTTACATTTGTTTATTAAGAGTAAAAAAACTACTAAAAATTCTTCGTCAACTGTTTTGTGAGACCACGAAGCAATTTAAAAATTCGTAGTGAAACTATTTAGTGTTATAAATTTCGTTTTTAAGTTCAAAGAAAATTTAAAAAAATAACTGTCACATTATGACAAAAATAAAGTTAGAGGAAACTTCCACTAAAACCGAGCTGAAGGAGAAGTTGGGGAAAGTAATCGTTGCAGCTAATGACAAGAACCATTCAAAAAGCCCCTTAAATCTGCTGCATTATCTTCGTCGAAGCGTGCGTCGCGGACTATTTGCACGAAAATTAAAACGTAAATATTCTATATTATGTACATATGTATGTGTGTACGTACATTTGTTTGAATTGTAGCTGCTACCCGTATTTTCTCATACTTGTGGCACCACATAGCACAGCGTGTTGCAAACAAAGTGCATACAACTGTGAGATTCATTCGCAGTGGATACATATGTTGCGGCACACCATAAACATGTATCTAGTCATTTATGTTGCTTTACTTCAACAACATGCGCATACAGTACGAGTGTTGGAGCCTAAATGTATGCTATGTTTTGTTGTGACTAAACTAGCTACATGTATACTCGCATCTTATTGCTGATGAAAACACAAGTTGTATACACTCAGATCTATTTAGTTTATCTTCATCCACAAATATCTTTTTTACATATTTAGTTTTTAATTTTTTCTTGCTGCCACCCCCAGGATTATAGAAAAAAAGAAATAAGGATGCCTGTAATTTTTATTTTGTAATCAGTTGATACTTAACCTTCCCGCCGGAGTTTTCAATACATTTTATATGGCGCAAATAATTTTTTCGTATAAGGAAATGAAATTACCGGTTATATAAAGGTATAAAAGTTAGTAAAATTTTAAAGTTAAATACACAGCCTAGTGATTTCTGAAGTGTACTTAATATTTTCAGTCGATCAAATAACATTTGCTTTTAACGATTTTATCGCAATTATACTCACATACTTCTCACAAAATTTCTCGAATTTAGTTGTATTGAGGCTATAAGTTGTAACAAAAAATCTCAAATTTAACAATCAGTTGTATGAGAGCTATAGCTTATAGTGGTGTCATTTCGCCCATACCAAAAATGATTAAAACATTACAAAACTACACCCGCTTTCAGCCGCATATCTTGAAAAATGAGGGACTAGGCTGCGTTCAAACAGACAGACATACATATGGACAGACGGTCATAGCTAAATCGGCTATCCCTTCTTCTTCTGGTATGTACTAACAAACGTCGGACCAAACTTATGCCATTTATATTCATGAAAGATATACAAGGGGCTGGCTGGAAAAAATTGTACCAACCTAATATACACAAATCTGTATATATTCAACTTCCTATCACTTAATTTGACAATTTCTTTTTTATTTCTTTTCAGAAAAACGTTTTCCCTCACAAAGTGTTTCTGGTACACCCTCCAATACATCTACAGCAGTAAGCACACCGACGGGCAGTGGCGGTGGAAGTTTAAAATTGAAAAGCCCGTCAACTGTTAAAAAAATTGTTAAAGGTGAGTTGATTTGAAAATATGTGAATTCTTGAAATTTCTACAAACCATTACCATGATGTATTTTATGCGTGCCTCTCAGGCGAAGAAATCTTGTAAGGCGGCTAAGAATCACTAAAAACTAATTTTCTATAGGCATTTTTGTAGACGTTAAGGGCGCTTTTGATATAACATGTGCAACTCGGCTTTAAGTCATGGAGTAGATTCTGGGCTGATAAATTGGTTTCGTACAATATTTGCGCAGCGGGTCGTTAGAATTCAGGAGGAAGGGGGTCAGTATGCCACGTGCAGAGTTCATATGGGCTATCCTCTGGGCTTTGTATTTTCTCCCTTGCTCTGGTGCTTGATAATTGATCACCACATCTCCTCATCAGACTTCTTCAGTGGGATTCGATCCCCAGCTGACTCAGCCAGTTGCATACGCACTGTGCTAAGTTCGCCTTATAAACCGTTTTTGTTTTTTCCACTTTTTTCATGTGAGCCAACTACAATCAAGCGCACCAATTCCGCTGCAATTCACACTTGATCATGTGGTTGTTGGTTTTTGTTAATAATTCTATTTTTACAGCCCGATTCTGTGCACTTGTTAAATTGAAAATTTTTATAATTTGTAAATTTTTTATTATTTATCAAGAATTGGTATTCTAGCATAGTAGGGCTGTGCGATTATTCGATTACTCGAGCAAGTTGGTTAATCAATTACTCAAGTAATCAAGATTTTGATTACTCAAAACGATGATTAATCGAGTTACTTGAAATATGATTACTCAAAAAAAAAAAATTTTGCTCGTTAAAAGAGTTTGCTTTGGAAAATGTTTATTTTCTTTTTTACATTGGGCCGTATGAATAAAAACTAAGCAATTGCTTTTTCTTAAAATTTCATACCTTTTACTTTAATTTTGTTTGAATAAATTGAGTGAAAGATTTGAAATTTTAAGAAAAAGCAATTGCTTATTTTTATTCATACGGCCCATTCTGTATATGAAAAAAAATTTTCGTTTTAATTTTTGAAAACAGAAACGTTGCTTTCAAAGTATCAAGGAACTTTAACTACTTTATACATATGTAAAGGCGCTGGTCCAATGCAGGCTTGCTTTGCGCGCCTTGCTGACTTCAATTTGCTTTGATTTGCTTTGAAAACTTGCTTGGCCGAATGGTGGCTTGGAACGCTGTCAAAGTAACCAGCTGTCTGGTTGAAAAGTCAATGTCTGTTCCCTTAACGTTAATAATTATTTCCTAGAAAACTCTAAAAAATGTATCAAAAACTTTCAGATTTATTTTTCAATTCATGCGAAATAATGTTTGTATTTAAAAGAAATGATAATTATGATACATACATATCTATATCTACATTTACTAAAAAAAACTATAACTTAAAAAAGCGATTTACTTGAAGAAAAGAGCTATAAGAAGTTTTTTCCTCTCGTGTAAAATTTGTAAAACTGGGCTTTGCAACTTGTTACTATAAGATAACGATATGTTAAATATAAATATGATGAATCATTTTTATTTCATTTCGAATTACCTGCAATTTCTGTGACTTTTTTAAATTAAGTAAGCAAATTTTTGCTTGAATTTATGTATTTTGAAGGAACATACATCTTTGTCAAAAGCCTTCAAAAGCTTTCAAATAAAACATTTGCCTATTTAAAATTTTAGGGCGCTTAAAGCAAGTGAAGAAAAGCTGCCATTTGGCCAGCCTTTATACGTTTTAGTATATTCCAAATAATTTTTGACACTTCTCGCAGCGAAGCAAGCAAAGCAAGCCTTCATTGGGCCAGCACCTTAAAGAGTTGAAATGTTGATTACTCATTTTACTCGAAATGTTGATTAATCATAAAGCAATTTACTCAAATATATATTTTTTTTGGTTAATCAAAAATCTTGATTAACTCGAGTAACTGAACTCTTGAGTAATCATAATTTCCAGTTAATCGAATAATTGAGTTATTTACTTTATGATTAATTAAAATTTTGAGTAATCAATTAATCGCACAGCCCTTTAGCACAGAAATCAAAAGCTCTTTTCTTGATAAATTATCAAGATTGAAAATGCTATTGACAAATTGAAATTTCATGTGAAATTTATAAATTTTGTATATTAATAAATTTGTTTCTAACAATAAAATACCCCATGTGCCGGCATTTGAACCTACGACTCACGGAATTATAGTCGACATCTCTACCTACTCGGCTATGGCAGTCTAAAGCTTTTTCGCTTTTAATTTCATATTTTTCATATGTGACAATGAAATCAGTTCCACTAATGTGGAAGTCGTAGAGCTTTTTGTTTTATAAATATTGACACAGATTGCGAAGAAAGCTTTTACTTGATAAAAGTCTTGATAAAATTTATTTACAAAAAAATTATCAAGAAAACACAGAATTGGGCGATTAGAATATTTAATTTTTAGGTGTGCTCGTCCCTAAGTTATTTATTTTTTTGTTATTTATGGCCTTATAACAATTATATTCAACAATTTTATTGAGATTGAGGGCTGTTTTAATGAAAAACTATTGTGGAAAAGTACGATTCTTAACTAACACAAAAAAAAGTATTTGCTTTCACCATCATGCAGAGGTATTTAAACACTTTGGGTCAATATAAAAAAGGTTAAGTTGAACGATGAGTGGAGTTAGCAGCTTTACCGCGGCGGGGCGATATGAAAATCGGACGATATTTACCATTTCATTCCACAAGAGCTGTGGGCGCGGCAATGCATCAACCTCTGCCATTTTCCATATTTCCTTGGTGAAAAATGGAACACATATGAAACTTCAGCGAAAAAATCTCACTTAGGACTATGATTGGACCTTAAAATGTTTAGGCTTTAAATACCGCTTTGATCTATGCCTTCACAAAATTTGGAAATACAATCTCTAGTTGCACTTAGAGAAGGTTCATGACAAAAAAGAAGCGTAAATAAGAACAAGTAAACGGCTCATAAAACACCATTTTTATCTTAGTTTTATAACATTTATGCATATAGGAAATACACTCGAGATGGGTTCGAAAAAAATCCAACCATAGTAACAAGAGAGAAAGTGAAATCCAGCACATCCTTGAAGGGAAATATAAGACAATCACTCGCTCTCACTAAAATTTCAATTCGATAATGGGTTGGATAACGAACTCATAGCGAAGGAAAAATACATTGGATAACGAAGGTTCCGTTTCGCTGGAGAATTGCCTATTTCTCGAACCGAATACTAATCTATGCTACATTCTTTATCGAAGGTGAGACTCGAAAAAAGGATTCGTTTTCCAATCATTTTCGAATTGTTAACTAAGCACAACGCTTATTAGGTAAGGAAGATAAAAAATAGTGCTTTCTCTGCATGTAAAAAGCTACCATGAAAGTACAAGCGAGTTAGTAAAGACATCAAACTGTGCCATTGCATACGAATAACCCAAACCATGAAGCTAAGCCCATATTTTTTCCAAATATATGTGTTTTCACATCGAGTACCAATTAGTCTGGTCAGACCCAATGGAATATTAAATTTGGTTAAACAAAGTAAAACTAAAATTATATACGAATAGATGCTCATCCTTACTACAGAAAGTACCTAAATATAAATTATCCTGTTTTCCCTTATAGAAATAACTAGCAAGTTTACATTTAATTCAGCATATGTGGGTTGCTTATATCAGCCTTTATCAAACCCCTACCTCCGAAAGTTGAATTAAAAAAAATTACTAAACTGAGGGCCGAGAATGTTCGTCAGCAAGACAATCCATCCCCAAGGCAAAAGCTTGCTTTATGTCAAAGCATTCATTCGAGAATCGCAGTTTAAATTGCTTCAACGCTCGCACTAAAAGAGAACATCCGTTTGGAAAATAATAAAATTAAAGAATTAAAACTCAATTAAGAAATTACGAGAATGGGTATACATGTATTTAGAGAGAGTCGAAAAACCCCAATCAACTCAAATGAAATATTCAGGCAATCAAAATTGAAGCAAATTGCCATTTTCCATGCAATCAAATTAAAGCGATACTTTACTGATTTTTTCTAATAGCAATAAAATCGATTTCATTAAAAAAGCCAGTGTTAATATGAAAAATGTTTTGACACATGTCAATTAATAGAGTAAAAGCGTATCAAAATCAAACATACGAAAAGAAGAGCTGAACGCGACGAAATTAATGTGGCAAAAGTGTGGCCGGCCGCAAATACTAAAGGAGGCAATTAAAATGAAAATGAGACAACAAAAGTTAATTTGTACCCACCTGTTTTAAACGCCTTCTCCTCTTTGTGTCACAACAACGCCAACGCACGCAATAAACAGTTGAAAATGAAAGAGTTTCGTTTGTGTGACTTTACCTCCACCGGAGATAAATACATTTACAAATGGAAAGTATTTCAAAGAAATTTTATACATAAAATGCTTGGATGGAGTTCATGACACTTTTTTCAAAGTGTTGAATATGTCGTAAATAGTAGCAGAAAAAATTGAGAGGAAGACAGGAAACGAAGAATATGTCTTTCGTTAACGAACAATAAATGTGGGTTCACATTGGTGACAAACAAATTTATGGTGATAACTACGACCACCCTGCAATTTGGATTGTGAAAAGTTGTGGAAACGTGAAGAACGCATAATTTTGATTAGGTGAAATAAGCTTTGAGTTAAAGCAAATAGGAGAAAATTAATAAATACTAGGCGCTCACATTTTCAATAAGTGTGTGTTCGAGCTTCTAATAATCGTCTATATGCTGTTATCAGTGTTGCCCTTTAGGTAGAATTCTACCAATTTTGTTAGAATATATTTCTAAATTTAAATTTAGGTAGATTTGTTTTCCATTTGGTAGATTTTGCTATACGATTCTTTAAGATTCATTAATTAAAAAAAGTGAGAGGTATAAATGGAATCAGACTAACAGACATATTTTAAATGAATACTTATGCAAAAAGGTTTCACTTGTAAAACAAATAACTTATATAATATAAAAGTTACTTTGAACTATTGGGACCATCATTGAGTCATTGAGTTGTCA